ACGATGGAGCAAATTTTTGGGGTAGCAATTTCCCTAACCAGGAAAGGCATTCAACTTCCCATGGAACTTTGAGATGAGACCCAGATATATCGATAGAGCTTCAAACGCTGATTACAAATATGGAAACTAAAACTGCAAAATGAACCTGCCAAGGAAGTTGTGAGCAGTCAAAGTTGGCTAAAGTTGCATATTGTTCTGAGGGCATCACTCCTCAGATGTCATCTCACTGGGTGGTTCATTACTTGACCTCTGCGCCACACATCAAATGTTATACATTTATTATTTTACAAATACCAAGAGCACTGATTAACCTAATCCTAGATGCCTAAATGATTGAATTTGACCCTTTTGACTATTCGCTTGAATAGGATTAACTTGAAATGTCTCCCTTCCTCTCAGGGGACAGCGGGTCCGTTGGTCTCAATAAACCGCCCGACCTCCCCTGCGCGGACGAACGGGATCCTCAGTACGTGCGGTGAAGCTGAGCTGACTGCTGGCGGAACCTCCGCGGAACTGAGCTCAGTCCAGCCTACGTCCGCTTGCGTGAGAGACCGAGCCTTTTCGTCCCCGCCCCTTGGCCTGCTGTAACGCGCCTAGAAACGTTGGGCGGAGACCCGTAGGAACGTCATGAACGAGGAGTTCATGACACATATGAACCGTGCTGACCCAGGCTTTCAAAGTCGCCGCGGAGTAGTGGTAGTGCCCTCGCTCTTCACCCGGAAGGTCATAAGTTCTCTCCCGTTGGAGTGCAAATTTCGAGAGCACTACCACTACTCCACGGCGACTTTGAAAGCCGGAGGCTAGCTAGTGTAATGCTTACTTCCAGCCAACTTTGACTGCTCACAACTTCCTTGGCAGGTTCATTTTGCAGTTTTAGTTTCCATATTTGTAATCAGCGTTTGAAGCTCTATCGATAAGTCTGGGTCTTAAAGGCAGAATTCACGATGGAAAAGCACCTCATGCGAAATTATCTTAGGGATGGTGAGAGGTACGCGAAAGAAGGAAAAACTATTTGAAACGGCCCGAAACCGAGGGAATGGTCGCCTAGGTCAAACCTTTCGGTGCCAATTGCGCGTCAGTTCGCACCCTCAGGAGGTCCGACGGTCTCTCAACTAGGTAAGTGAATTAACTCCTTCTTCGGCCTTCATTCTAATCGTGAATTCCTCCTTTAACTCAAAGTTCCATGGGAAGTTGAAAGACTTTCCTAGTAAGGAGTCGATTCCAAGATCTGTGGCCTGTGAGCCAAGAAAACTACCGCTGCACAACTTTCGTCACGACTAAAAAAGTTTCAATTTTTCTGGGATCGTCGATAGAATAAATTCGGGGATATGTAAGTGATCGGTGTCAAAGAACACATCTAAGGACGTAACTGATTCAGACTACCGTGGCTTTTTTTTCTTTACATCAGTGTCCGGGGTTCCTGTGGATCAGTTTAGATTAATTGTGATGCGCGAGCGCTCTATTGCCGATGACCGTAGAACGCTGTTCTGAAGGATAGAGTTGCAGAAACGTCACTACATCTACTTCTTAGGAAAAACGAAAATCATTCTCGATCCCACGAATCCTAAACTTTTTCAGGAAGGAATCCTGGCCTGGTCTGATTAAAAAATTGGAATCATAGATTTTGACACGCCAGTTGATAGAGTTTTTCTGCAGCTGCTCCTACATAAAATGTTTTCCAGTTACTACAACGTCTATTCTTCCTTTTTAATGGATGACTAGGATTCCACGAATCTGAATAGTTGAAATATGTCAGCAATGTAGCTTCACAATACCTGGACTGCGTTCCCTTCCAGTCGATCACGAGCTGGTTATCCTCGAGTCGGACAGCTTTTGGACTTTGTTCCACATCGAATTCTTTCATTGTCAAGTTTCTGAAACACACGTTCTTTTCATTGACCCTTACGAGTTACGAAGTCGATAACATGAATGGATGATTATTTTGAATAATTTGAATTTCTGATTTTTGTGAACGTTATAGGAAATCGCAAAATACTGAACCCTCTTCGATCGCTTGGTTTTGGAAAAATTCTAAAAAACATGCCTAGGATACAGGAAAAATTCAAGCAACGATTTTTACCCAGACATAGAATTACAGTAGCGGTCAAAAGTGTTCGCCGAAACGATTTTCGGTGCATTATTTTTTCTCGCTTGAGCAACGCCCTCCAAAGATTGATATACTATGTTTTCTAGTGTTTTTATATCCTCAAGTCTTCAAAGAATCAGGATATTCAAAAGAAAAAATTTTCGAGGTCACCATTGATTTTTTTCTGGCGAAAAACCGTTTTGGCGAACACTTTTGACCGCTGCTATAAGTAAATACCTTGCAATCATCGCCGGACTTGTCAAGTATGTGGCTGGATCCGGTGAACAGTCTCTCAGCCATATCACCGGGAACTTGCCCTTGACTCCTAGAAAGAGCGCTTTGACGAATAACTACTCCACCCACTCATAATTATATCATTTTTTAACGCCGCTTTAAAAGCAGAACGCTCGAGCATCTCAAGCACTGTGGCAGAAGGCGCCGTTGTTACAACCATCAGTCATGGAAAATGGTTCTAAAAACTGTTCAGTGGATTATCTTCACTCACCATCGGTCCATTCCACTGTGATGATTCTGTTGACGGGTTGAGAGACAGAGGCGATTTTAGTTGCACTCGAGAAAAATCTGCAAAAAATAGGGAAAATAAAAAAGTCATGAATCGGCAGAACAAAATGTTTCTTGAGCCAGCGGCATATTTATGAAACTATGATTCAAAGTGTAAATGTGGTGCAGTGGCGAGTGGCGCCATTCCCCGGCCGCGCAGTCGGAGGTCAAGTCTCGAATCAGATCTAACTCAAGCCAACTAAGCTTTCTATCCCTGCGCAGTCGGTGATTTGTGTAAGAGTTGTAGAGGGTGAAAACACTGATTTCTATGTTGGCTGGCTCCGCAATTCATTGCATATGCCACTGCATTCGAATGCCATTACAAGTTCCAATGGAAGCAGAACACGTGGCGCATACCTAAAAGTATTGGTCGAGATAGGGATCTGAAAAGGGAATAGTGCTCGAGTTACTGTCAGTAGGAATTATCTCCATCCTCTGAAAGTTATCTGAGAGGAAATTTTTGAAAAGAAAATTTCGTGCGAAACCCGGAAAATCTTAAAGTTTCTGTGATTTGTGGCGTCAGCTTCCACTAGTTTCATCTCCCCTACCGGACAATTTGAGAGACCACGGACAATATGAAAGATTAGAGGGATCAGAGAAGTCACTAATATCTAAATCGTACACGACGTCACTGCTACCGCTTGGTTTAAATATGGCGACTGCTTCAGTACGTCAAACGCAGGCCAGTCAGAGTCTCGAAGTAGCAAACGCGGGTACGTGAGTGCCACCCGACTCTTTGAGGAGATTTGAGGGAGCTCACTGTTAACTTGCTCATGCTCTTATGGTAAGAATGCCATTAAATCCTTTGTGCGGCTCGCTCGGAAAGGCTCCGATGCCTGAATCCGCGTAATGAGCGCGTCTTGGAAATAATGGGATTAAGCGACACAGAAGACCGATCAACACTTCGAGATCGACCCTCTCCTTCTACATTGATGAGGCAGATAAAGGATTGAAAGCGAGATTTGGTAAGAGTTCTGAGAGCATTTGGAATCGAGATGGTTCATTCTATTTTTCAGGTGCTATCGCAATGAATTCGTTGAGAGGTTACAAACTTCTTAACAAGCTACAAAGATCGGTGCTATATGATTCGGACGGGCACGTCGATTTTGGCATTACCTATTCATTTAATTCCGAATATATGCTTGCCCTCATAGCGTTTCCTTTTCCACTATACGATAAGGCTTAGGTCCTTAGAAAAAAGAGGATCCCCAGGGTGAGCGGCAATATAATTAAGACTTTCCTAAAGGGCGGAAGTGGTGTAGTGACAAGTGGCGCGCTTCACCACGCGAGCGGTCCGGGATCAAATCCTGGGTCGTGAGTCGCCCGGGCCAACCAAGCCTTCCATCCCTCCGGGGTCGGTTAATTGGTACCAGACTTGTCTGGGAGGATAAAAACACTGACTTGTACATCGGCTGGCCCCCGCAAGTCATTGTATAGGCCACATCGCATTCAAACGCCACTACGAATGTACAAATGGAAGTAGAATGCGTGCCGCATCCCAAAAAGGGATTGATCAACGGCAAATGCTTTATCCTTTATTTATCCTTCCTCAGAGTTCCTCCACTCAAAATCGGCCTCTACAACCGGCTCACATAGCTCAAAAGATCATCTGAGGACGTAAAACTCCTTAGAGAAGCACCTTAAAAGGAAGTAAACTCTTGATTGCTTGTCCTTCCAATAGCAGATCGCGGACCCTTTCACACTAGCCCACCAAAAAAATCCACAAAAATCATATGTAGAGATTTTTGAGTTAGGAATTCCAAACAAGCATGTCAATCTGAATAATATTTTATTACTAGAAATGTGGTCCTATTGAATGTTTGAAATTTTTGCATGGCATGGAGGGAATGAGATATCGATCCGATCTACCGTAGGAGTTGCTCAGAATCCTGATAATTTTTAAAAACAAAAATTGAACTAAATCAATTGAAGTGACCGACCTAGCAGCAATTTTTGCAGCCATCGAGCGGTGATAGTACGACGATGAGAACGGCGAATAACACAGTCAGAGAGACAAGCGGTGGAAAATGGACGAACAATCGATGTGGGCTCGATTGATCTTCAGGCGTCAGCTGAGGTTTGTGGCAGACGAAAACAGGTACACTTGTTGACAACGTCAATAATCGTACGGAGGAACGGCGGTGTTGCACTGTGGCACGATGGACAACGAAGAATAACAAAATGTGAACGATGTGAAATAGACGAACGATCGAATGGGTGGGTGCACGATTGATCCCAGTGGCGGTGTAGATACGTGCGACAGCCGAGATTGGAGGGGAGACGAAAACACGCAATATTTTTTTTCATGATAACACGACTGCGCCAAAGAACGCACGGTCTCATTCTCACACTCTTGACACAGTTCACGTGAACGGTTCGTGGAATGTGCGAGCACTTTCAACGCTGATGGTCCCTCTTCTTTGAAATATATTACAATACCAGATTATTCGGAAATTAATGCAGGTTTTTATTGCTGTTTTTTAGTCTTATCCAGTGAATGGGCATGTGGTGAGGCAATTCAAATCGTCTAAACGAATCCAATTTTTCGCCGGGGAAGGAGGCTCTAGGGTGGGTGTAAAAGGGGAAGCAAAATGGTATACAAATCCTTGAGATTTCCTTCTCCTGCAAAAATCGGAATTTGTATGTGGCAGCAAATGTCACACCTGCCCCCCCCCCTGATAGCATGATATCGTTGTTTATACTGAACACGTTTCTTCGAGAAGTTCTGCTGCTTTATATAACTGGAAGATTATTTCAGAAAATTTTGCTTCCCGGTAAGGTCGTCTGTGAGGGGTTTGCTTTTTCAGGGAGGTGGCACTTCATAGGGGTTCGCGTGCGTAACATATAAATTGGGTCCATGTTTCCCGACAGCGCCATAATAAAAACCATTCGAGAGATTTCGCGATTGGGACATTCGAAGAAAGGAATGGATGCGTTTTGGTAAGGGCGACCGGAGAATCGCCTTTCTCAATTGGTTGCTACCCACATACCCTCGCCTTCAAATGACCAGAAATTGTGCAATTGCAGAAATTGACGTGGCATTGGCACACGTGGCTAAATTCTCGATGAAAAGGTGACATCACGTGTGCTCAAAGATGTTCTTGAATCGATGCCACGTTAATGCCACGTCAATTTCTGCAATTGCACAATTTCTGGTCATTTGAAGGCGAGGGTAACTGACGTGTACCAACCTTACCGCCGAATGTTGATAGAGCAAATTCTCCTAAAGATATTTAGCTTAGAGCAATTTGGGGCGGTCTCATGCTTGCCACGAATCGTGAACCGACGAATTTCCTAATCGCAGCGTGTTTTATCATTTCGCGAATCGAATAGCTAAATCTGCCAAAGCGTTGCGTACGAACATAAAACTGCTGGGGAAACTGATCTCAGGAAAGCATTTCTCAAAAATATATTTTATTCTAATTGCCCATTGAAAAACTTCATAATTAGGAGAAAGTTCAATATGTGAATAGAGAACGGAATTCCGAACAATGAAAAATTTTTAGCGCGATGTTCGAACCGTAAACAGTTTTCCGGACCTTTTGTACCCTTCGTAGCCACAGAAAAAAAAACCCGTGTTATATAGAACGTACTTACTGCCACAGAAAGTAAAAGGAAGCCTTCTAAAAAGGCGGTACACATCCAAAAAGATTTCAGTGGTTAGTGGAATCTCGAGAGTAAACTTCACAATCTTACAGCACCAGCTATTGTGGAAACAAACAGAAGTTGCGTGTCAAAGCGGACCTTCAAAAATAAAAAAAAGAGGAAAAAATGGCGGAGATGACTGTAGAAGTGGAGGCCTTTACTTTTTCCAGCAGGCGAATAACGCTACGACGAAGTCATCGGGCGTTCAAGGGAGAGTGCACAGACAGAGAAGGAGAGATTATGGGGTACAACCGAGACGCAGACGCAGGCCATTGCATCGGAGTCTGCATGGAGCGAGTCTGCGCCAGAGCATCCGATATGAGTAAACATGGAGTGCAAGTTGTTAAGATCGAGCATACCATTTCCTAAGAGAGAAAACAGAAAAACATTTTTTTGAATTTCTCTATCCGACTCGTGAAAGGAAATGACACATGAAACTATGGGTCTAAGAAATAAGTTCTGCAAGATTTCCGTGGAGTAAGACAGCCTTCCTTCCCGAAGTCACAGTGTTGGTCACCGGTCCGATCAGCGCAATTAGAACTTTGATATTGGAATGTTGACAAATTTTTTCCCACTTCAAGTGAACTGTCAGGAAGTAGCTTAGGTCAGTCTATTTTTTAAGGCTCGGCTTCATCACAGTGCAAACGGATCCGATGAGCAATGAAGTATGCAGCCAAGGAAGTGTCAACAAATCTTGACGTGATTTTAAATACATACTTTGTGAACCAGGAAGTCACGCTGAATTCTTGTGATTTCGCCCCAGTAAAGGGCTGCTATGAGAATTTTCACTCGGATGTGTGCTTCAATTTCCAGTTGGAAACTTTTCGTTTGGGCTTAGAACAGTGTTATTAGCTCAGTTTCAGATGTGGAGAGTAAAAGCCTTTTTGGTGCCCACTTATTACAGTAATCTTCTTCAAAGGCGAGCCTCAGCATCAAACCGATGGAAGTTTTGCACACGAAAACAAAAATTTTGGTGCAGA